AGGGGCTGGTAAAGCATGTGGGCAGGCTGCTGTAATGAGCTGGAGAAAAACCCTGCAGAAAGAGGATTTTTTTTTTTTCCCCCCTCCCTGTATCTTCGGATTTACCGCGGAGCATCCCAGAGGCAGAGCTGTGGATTAGTTGTTCGTGAGCACAACCTGCCGGCTCCCTCTGCAAGCAGCAGCAAGAGGCACCGCTCCATCTCCCTCATCCGCGGGACTTCAAGGCTTGAGTTTGGGAACGCTTTGGGCTGTGTCTTCCCCTCGGGAATGGACAGAAATCCCTACGAGACACCCACAGCCTTTATTCTGAAGTGGGGAGGAAACACAGGGAAACGCCTTGCAGCTCCCTGCGGTTACAGCAGTTCTGAACTTTCGCAGGGAAAAGCTCCTAAAACAAGCAAAGAGATAAACAAAAAATAGTTTCTCTTCTCTCAGAGCACCAAATTACTTGGGGGGTTTTTAGGGACTGTGGCGTTCCTGCAGGCTGTGCCATCAGTTGACATTTCCAGGCTCCGTTATTCCAACCACCTTATGACCCTCTCTCTGAGCTGTATCCAGTGTCTGGGTCTTTATAAGATGAATTCCAGTTTTTATTTGGGTCTGGGACTCCTCGTGCAGATTTGACCCGAAGTGTATTGTTGTCCAGAGAACACTTTTGCATCAAACCAGCTTTTCAGTTTGATGGAAGCTTTCATCTCCAAATGAAAACCTTGCAGTGAGGTGTTGCAGTCCCTGTGCCAGAGTCCTTGCCCTCAGAAGTGCTGCTGGGTACCAGGATAGTGGGACTGGCACCCAACTCCAACAGGGCAGTGCAGGACCCTCTCAGCCACCGGGGTACAGGGAGAACTTTCCTGACTTGTTTCCAAAAGCAACGTGCTGTGGAGTTTCTGTACCACCCACTTGGGTGTGCAAGAGAAAAACTTCCATCCTAAGGAAGATCTCAGCCATCAGTGTCCTGCTTCCTCACCACATGGGCATGCTGGGATGCCAAAGCTGTGCCCACCACAGGGGCCTGGAGTCAGGGCTGGAAATTCATCTCATCACCAGATCCCTCCCATGCTCCTGCTGTGTAAGCCTAATTAAACTCTTAGAGCAGAATAATTAATCATTAGTAAGGGAATCAAATATTAGTCTGTATTATAGTAAACATTAGTTGTATATTAACAAGCTCATTAGCTATTCATTAACCTTTGAAGCTCTACAAAATCCCCTCTATCACACTGCAGGTTTGTGGTGAATGTCTGTCTCAAATGACCTGGAGTGAGTGGAGTGCCCTTTTACCTGCTGCTAAGGGCATCAGGAATTCCAGGACCTGTTTAGTTATTATACCCCTTTGATTATCATCTGCCTTCCTATTTGATTTGATTTAAATTCAGCTATAGGGCAGGCTTACCTTATTATTGATATGAAACCATTAAAACCTCCCAGGGATTGAGAGAATCACTTCCCAAATGATGTATGATCACTGAGGCAATGGTTATTTTTGTCCTGTTGTTGCTCCTGGCAGAAGGTATTGGTAGATCTTCACTCAGGAGATGCAGAACAGAGACTAAGGGAGGGCACAGCTAATGGGTATGTTCTTGTTCTAATAAGATTCAGAGGCACAGTCCCATTTTTGCCCCGTCTTTCCAGGTCATTAAGGCAAATCCCCGAATTTCTCTGCACCTGCCTTCCTTCTCTGGAAGCTGGGACTACTTTTCCTGTGCCACTTCTACCCTTTTTTATTAAAAAGTGTAAGTTGTTCAAGGGGGTAGTTTGTGCAGGCTGGTGTCCAGCATCAGATTTGCTGCCTTGCAGGGTTTACAGCCCAGTCATGGGCTGTTCTGTGGTGGGGTCTGCCTGCAATGCAGGGTGAGTTCTGCCTCCTCCCTCCTCACCTGCAGCCCAGACCTGGCTGTGGTGCAGCAGAGATCTGCTCTCAGCTGGAGAGGTGTCTGAAACCCTGTCCCTGCTGCTCAGGGCTGAGCTGTGTCTGAAATCCTGCTCAGGTCTCCTGCCTCTGTGGTGATGGATTGTGTCCTGGCCTGTCCTTACCGAGCGATCATTACTTTCTTGCATCTTTTAATCAGGGCAATTTCTTTTGGCCTGCTGGAAAATGCTTTCCTCATGTGGATTAATTAAGCATAAAACCTAGCTCTGACAATTTAATATGAGCTGTGGTCAGGATGCAGGCAGTCTTCTGAGACATTATTCATTACACCGTCCTTATTCTTCCCAACATTTACTTTTAAACCATGTTTTTCTGAAACTGAGGACAGGAATTGTTAGTTGTTCTCTGCAAAGTTACAGGCAGAGTTAGTCCAGCTGGAGAGCAAAGCTGTGTGTGGTAGCATCACCTCTGTCCTGTGGGCTGCACAGCCCATCCCTTGCTGGGGAGAGCAAGGGCACGGTGCCAGATGCCCTTGGGCAGCTCCTTTGTTTTGGGATTTGCACCTCTGGGCAGTGAAACAGCAGATCCTGTTAATGCTTCCTGCTGTTTTCTCCTCTCTGTTGGCAGCAGCTGACTGCCTTGGTCTTTGCAAGCAGTGAAACAACTGTCTAGGGATGTGGGCAGTCAATAAATCAATACTGGCTAGTGAATGACTTTGTTCTGATCTTCCTCAGGGTGTCTGTTGAAGTTTTTGTTTGATTGGCCTGGGGGATGTGCAGAATTATGATGATCTCCCGGGGAATATTCACCCTTGCGTGGATGACTGCAGGTTGATTTCATCCTCATGTGACCTCCCTCTAACATATTTCCCATAAAAAGTTATAAATCTGTATCTACAAAGAATTTGGGTTAAGTTTCATTCCTTCACAGCTTGAATTTGTCCAAGAAATATTAAAACCTGTATTACAAAGTAAGAGGTGTTACAGACTGGATCAAATTGAACTCAGCAGGTGGGTTGATGTGACACTGCCAGGGCTGATGGGACATGGGACCGTCCCTGGTGATGGGAGGTGGGACAGGGGACCTGCACATCTCAGGTCTAATCCAATCTGGGACCCACCTACTTTGATTTTTCCTCTTCAAACTCTCCCAAGTTCTCTCAGAGATCTTTTAGTGAGGCTTCTTAACTTCTTATAAACTAATCTTGGAGAATAAACCATGAATTTAATGATGTCTCTGCTGACAGCCCATTGATCCACAGTGTGCAGCTTCCTTGGGAGTGTTACTGGGAGCCAGATGAGAGAAGTGCTCTGATGGAGTGGGAGTCCTCCACCTGGGACCCCCAAATTCGGCGAAGTTATTCACAGTGTGGTGTTATTGGTGCTGCCCAGAACAGGCTCTACCTGTAATATTCAGCGGCAGGAGAGTGTTCCCGTTGGTGTTGCTGGACTTCAGATCAGGCATCTTGCTGAGCTGCATTTAAATACCCAAAATAGAAGAGCATCTGAGTGTTCCCACTAAACTTTTTCATGGAGTCAGAATGAGAAATTTAAAATACGGTGGTTGTTGTATGTTCTACCTCAAATAATTCTCCTTAAATTCCTAAGGGATGCTAAAAATCTAAACGGGAAAGGTACAGAAATACTTTAATATGTATTAATAATCAGGGTAAATCCCTTCCAATTGTCTTACCAGCTAAAACCTGTAGACCTAAAAACTGTGTTTTTCTGAAGCCAGAGGTGCTGGATTTCTGTTCTCAGAAGGTAATTTTACAAACATGTTAATGACACAATAATTTCAAATTAAGCACCGCAAATAAGGAGTCGTCTTTGCAGGCTGTACTTGGACGTGGAAATCTCAGTTCCTTAGTTTTATGCCTTTTAAATGTATTTTAGTTTGTTTTGAGTTTTGACTCCTTCAGAAGAGAGCCAAAATTCAAAACTCAAAAGTTTTGACTCTTTCTTTTTGGCTTCAGAATTCCTAGGGTAAAATCACTTCATCTAGTGATTCCATTGTTCACATACCATAGAAAAGGAAAAATACAAAAAAAGGCCATGTATTGATTAGGTAGCCAAAAGATCAAGCAAATATTTCACTCCATGTGCAACAAAATATTATGAGGTAATTTTATTTTGTTTCCATTTTCAGGTAAAAATATTACAGTATACAAGATAATCTTATTAAAGGTAAAAATACAGTATTTTGCTTTGTCTCTAAACAGATCTACCTACAGTACACTTTTTTTTTTTTTAAATTTTGTTTTCTTTGATTTTTTTTTTTTTTTTGTACAAATATAACTATTATTCTATTAGGCTATCTGTATTCTCATCTGGCACTTAAGAACTGGTCACAGGTCACCTTCTGGCTCTGCTTGTTTGTCTCAGCTGATCCCTAAATGCCCCGTTCATTTTAGAGGTGCCTCTTGTAAACAAACAGTGCAGTTCTGTGGGTCCCATGTGGTAAGGTGTGCTTTAAGTAGTTGAAATCCTGGAGCTAACTGGGAAATCCCAAGAAATCCACGATGTTTGCACGGACTCATCACCTTCCCCTGGTAAAAGTGGGATCTGGGTCCTTGTTTTACCTCAGCCTTAGAACAGTTTTAATCCCTTCCTCATCCTCAGTAAGAGCCAAACACATAAGAATCATTTCTACACTGATTTTTCCTTCCTTTCCTTTTTTTTTTTTTTTTAAATTTTATTCTATTTTGTCAGAATGTTCAATTGAAGCCTCTCTGTATTAATTTAAAGGGCTTGTTCTTCGTGACTGATCTCACCCTATGGCTTGCTGTTCGGCCTCTGCAATCTGAAAAGCTGAGCTCTGCCACGTTGCTGCCTCCGGACGAATGTTGTTCCTAGGACTGAACACGTTATGCACAAGGTGTTTCATCTGTGGGAATTCCTGGGAAGTGACTTTCACACCAGCGTGGGTGTTTCAGTACACTGTTGTCGGAGGTGGGACGGGTTAAGGACAGAAGAGAGGCTGGGTGCATACAAAGAGCCCACATCCACAACTGGAAAAAGGTGGAGAGGAGGTTTTGGCTGGAAATCCTTTTATCAGCTTCTAGCAGAGGGGTGAAGGGATGATTTTTTTTCCACAAGCTTGATCTATTTTTGTTCCCCAGCGCTGTCATCCAGTCTCTCTGTGTCCTACCTTGGTCGTTTCAGCAGGTGATTTTTGTTTTCCATGAGCCACAGTGCTGTTCAGAGTTTTCTTCATGGCTGCCCATGTAAACATTTATAAAAGGAGAATACACACCCAAGAATAGGAATTTAAAACATTTTGCAGGGATATATGTTTGGCACATTTTTTTTTCTTCAGGCTTCACCCAGTTCTGGTCAGGACAGTCTCAGTTGCTGTAAGTGAGCACAGTTGTATTGTCTTCTCTAGAGTCAGATGGATGAAGATCTGCATTTCTTGCCTTTAACTGGAGGTGCCTTCTCTGTGGTGCACCTATTTCTGATGTCAAAGGGCATACATTTTTACCAATAAGTCGCTTTTGTATCAGAAAAGGTTTAACTGGTAACTCACCAAGTGCAGGAGAGGTGCAAAGTGCTCCTCCCAACACTTGCTGCAGCGAAAGCTGAGTGTGCAGTACCCACTTTTTACGTGGCTTTTGCCCTCCTAAGATGCTGGTTGAGACTGAATAATGTTAAGAAAACCAGTTGCCTCTCTCTGCATTCACCATCAAATGTCCTTATTTAAGGTCTTCCCAAACTTGTCACTCAGCTGCTGGATTAGTTTTGCCAGCTCACCAGTAGCTTGGGACTTCTCTTCCAAGAGTTCATAGCGCAGACTAGAAATGTCTTGTTTGATCTCTTTAAGTTCTCCTAAAAGGAAGAAAATGTTGCTGTTAACAACACTGAATCAAGTGAGTAATCCCTAGGGTTTCAAGACCTGAGAGAGCACTATTTTCAGTGTTGTTTGGTCATGGATGTGTGTGGACCTGCAGATGATCTCCCTGCATTATGCACTTTATTATTTGTACTTGTAAGAAAGAAGCTGCACTCGCAGCAGTGGTACTGAAAGCAGTGAGTTTTATGGAAAATTCATATTTTGTTTTCTGAAATCTGTTCTCTTTCCACCTACTGACCTACACAGGGCACTTGCAGGAAGGTGGCAGTTAAGAGGTGTTGGAGGTTTTTTTCCCTCTGCATTCAAATCCTCCCTGCAGGGAGTATCCTCGGGGCTGGGCTGGGCAGTGCAATCAGAAACTGCTTTACTTGGACACCAAGTTGGGTGTTGGCAACACCCTGGCTGTTGTGAAGAAGCAGAGGTGGAGCAGGATAGTGTAATATCTTACGAGATGTGTGTTCTGCTAAAGAAAAATTAGAGTTTCCAGAGCTCAGAGGTGGCTCAGAGTGAGCACTAACGAGCTCTCCCTCTACAGAGGACCTTCTCTAAGCTCAACCCTCTTACTGGCCAGATCAGTAGCACATCAGTAACACATCCCATGCTCATTCCATGTGTGAGTTATAAAAATCCACTTGCCTTCGTTGACCTCATCGTTTTCTCGGTCAACCTGAGCCTTGAGCACGTACCGTTTGATCAGACGCTTCATGATTTTCTGAAAGGAGAACAGAAACACTTCTGGTCATGTGAGATTGTCCACCTTGCCTCAGTGCTAGACTTGCTATGGGCAACTGAAACTGCGGGTAATTCTTTACTGACTTCCCATTTATGGTATATTTTATATTATGGGTGTTGCAGTGATTGACTGACAGCCATTATGACCTCACATAGGAAGCACTTCAGGGTGTTTTATGGGATGCACATGAATGTAGAGCACGTCCCACTGACAGAAAGAAACCAGATGATCCAATAGAAAGCTAAGAAATGGGTTCCAGAGCCCTTTTTTAGCATGTTGGCTTTCAATGCAACAATAAATAATACTTTACAGGGAAAAATAAGTGGTTAATTAATGAGGTTAGCAAACTCACTCACAGTGATGAATTAAGCAGCTGACCAGAGGTTCACAGAAAGACTCTGTTAGCCTTGTAATTGGGGGGTTTAGGGGAAAAAAAATTTAGAGAGGGACAGAGAAAAGAGTGGGACCTGCTTAAGTGAGAGAAGCTTCTTAAGGAAATGTCAGATTTTTTAAGAGACACACACAGGGAAAAAACCCAGAGCCATGTAGACTTACAAAATGGAAGGTGGTTTTTAGTAAGGAATGGCATACATGGAAACTGAAGATGGTGGTGGATATGAGATTGCAATGTGATATTGTTCCAAAAATACGTAAGTTCCATTCACGTAGAAGGAAAGTAACTTTGGCAGTCTGGGGTTACAACCAGAGGCCTGTGACACTGCCAGTTTTTCACTACAGGGGGAAGAAATCTCAGCTAGGACAAGCACAAAAAGGATTGCTCTGTCAGAGACAGGGATTTAGGTTTTAGATTTGAGCATCGCTGAAAAAAGCTGCGGGCTGTGAAAACACGAGTTAAGGACTCAGGACACCTGCTCTTGGTTCTTAGGAGCCAAATAAGGATTATAACAGTGCAAAAGGCAGGTGGAGATGAAAGAAGGATCCAGTCATTTGGAGCCATGGGATGTGGGATGTCTAAGACTGTCCTTGTGCCAGGGAGGCCTCTGGCTAAGCAGGTGGGTCAGAAGGGCACAGCGCACGTACGGTGTGTTGAAGATGGCCAAGGTAGTAGAATCCAGAGGGAGGTAGGGCTGTCACCTGAGAAAACATAAATGAAGGAATGTTTGGGGAAAGCAGGGAAATCCTGGATCCAAAAAGAATTTTTTTAAATTTTTTTTTTTTTTTTCAGAACAGAGGAAATTTAGATTAAAACATGGAATCAGCACATAGGGAATGCTCTTATTACCTAGGAAAAAAACTGATAACATAATATCTCTACTTTTTTGCCTCAATATTGCACTGTGGTTTCCAAGCCTTGCTCCTCCCTTTCTCCCCAGCACTGCTCCTTTTGCCACAATGACCGAAACACCCTCTTGTCCATATTTAGTCCAAGTGCATCACTTGATAAACATTGCTAAAGAAAACAGAAAATTGCTTCAAAGATTTCCCCAGTCGTAAAAGAAAGTTTGCTGGCCAAATTATCGCATTGTTTGTTCTTCTTTATATTTAGATGATCAAGATTATTAAACTCTCCTTCTATTATTTGGGCAATTTCTTCCTGCAGCAGTTGAAACGTTCGAAGATAATTTGAAGACAAAGCAAGCAGCGGCATTATTGAATAACAGGTAGTTATCTTTTTCTCTCTGTTTTTCACAGTCACATTTGGCTTTTTCAATCTTGGAAATAAGGGGATAATTTACCACAAACATTAGGTGGTGTAATTTAGAAAAAAATAGCTCCAGGAAGAGAAGGACTCCAGCAGAGGCTGACACATCTCCTGGGGGTCTGAGTGGATGGGGAAATGTCAGAAGGGCTCAAATGCCATTTTGAGCAGGACACAGTCTCTCGTCTTTTTGATGGTATCAAGCCAAGTAACTCCAGATACCAGAGTGAATATATCCTGTTTCTAACTTGGATTTGCAGATACCCCTCCTGTCATGGCACAAAACCCTAAAAGGTTTTTAAAACCAGTAGACATTAATTAGTGGTCTGCTGTGCAGCTCAGGAGCCCGTTGTGCTGGGGGCTGGATCAACTCGGGACAAACCCCTTCTAGAATTGCCACTGCACCTTTTATCTCACTTTATTATTATTTTCCTCAGTTCTCTTCAATGTTGGGCCTTTCAGACATACCACTTGCCACCAGATTCCTTTTCACTTTATGCTAAAAAAAAGAAGGAGAATATCCCGTGGGGAACATTCTGTTTGTTGCATTACCCAACAAGAGAAAATAAATCTGCTGGCACGAGACTCTTGCCAAGACAGAGATTTGTGTTAGTTATGGCACCCACTGCAGCCACAGGGGGATTTCGAACAGTAGCACATTGCAGGTCAAGTCACTGCCAGAGAAAGCACATGCAGATGTTGATGCAACAGCTGGAGAGATGGATCTGTGCCATGGAGGATGAAATGCTGTCAGTCCAAGACTGGAGGAGTAGAGGTTGGATGATATTTCCTGTATTAAATTAAATTAAATTCCCCGGGGTGGAACTAATTAGCATGACATCAGTTAGCATTTCCACGGGTGACAGGCTGTGTTTGTCCCCCAGATACCCCAGCCCAGTCCCGTGCCTGAGCTGAGCCTCATCCCGGGGTGGCGTCACTGGAAGGAGGTAAATGTGACCCTGCAGGTACGAGCTGTTCACTGACACATCTCTCCCCTGGCTCCTGCTTTCATGCTGTGATTACCTGATATCTCGTGGGCTTGTTATAAGCGTTCTTCCCCGAAAAATTCTCTGTGTTTTGAATGATTGAGTGAAAACGAACTTTCTGAAATTATAAAACATGGTGATAGGATTAAATCAGTGAGAGCTCCTCACAACACCCAGACAGCCCCAGACTAAACAGAGCATCATAAAACCAGGAAATGGTTGGATGTGCGAGTAAAATCCAGCACATTCAGGCTCAAGAAAGAAAGGAAGAAAGAGAGAGACAAAGAAAGGAGAGAGAGAAAGAAAAAGAGAGAAAGAAAAAGAAATAGAGAGCAAGAAAAAGAGAGAAAGAAAGAAAGAGAGAGAGAGAAAGAAAGAAGGAAAGAAAGAGAGAGAGAGAAAGAAACAAGAAAGAAAAAGAAGTAAAAATAACCACAAACAAATGGAAAAAAATTGGATTCTAAATTAGGAATGGTATTCACACACAAGTTTTAGACAACAAGGTGTTAAGAGGCACAAAGTACTTTAATCTTAACGAGGCTGATGATGATCAGTTTAGAACACAACTTAAGAAAGGAAGAAAAAAGAAATACTTATGTTTGGAGGGACAAGTCTATGTGGTACAAAGCCAAATTCTGAAACAATTGATTTTCATTGGTCCTTTTAAAACAGCAGCACCATTTGCTACTTCTTTTGGCTCAAAAAAAAAAAAATTATAATTTTTTTTAATAGACCATCATATTTTTATCAGAGGACACAACACAGCTCTAGAAGCTTCCAAGGAGACTTTTCTGTAGACTGTACACAATATTTGTAAGAGGTTTTTTTGACTCTGTTTTTCCACCTCTGAATTTTTTGGTCCAAATGCTAACAAAAAAAAAAAATCACTTATTCAAAGGAATTATTTCATATCATGGACCCAGAGAAGGCAATAAATATCATAGAATTCTGTAACTATGTGCAATTAAATAGAGAGAGAAGGCCCTGGTTAAGGGTTTTTCTTCCCTGATGAACCAGAGTTCTTGATTTTTTTTTTTTTTCAAATCAAGATGCTTATAATGATTAGACTGAAAGCCTGATTAACCATGTAATTTTTTTTTTTCTTATTTCTCTCTTACTCATCAGGTGCGTCATGATCCTACAGAGACTCTTGAAGATGATACGTGAACAAAATCAACAGGCAAGCAAGAAATGACTGATACTCTTAATTGTTTATGTTAAAGGCATGGAAAATATGAATTTTGCATGAGTTCCATGAAAAAAGGGCAAGTCAGACTATTTCACTCACGTGGCTTGGGGAAGGAGAGGCTTAGGGAAAATTTTATTACTTTGGTTTATGCTTTGGAGCAGAAATTAAATTCCAAACAAAGAGGGCTTTGTAGGGTTAGAGTCAAATAATTTTAAAAAAAATATATTATCTTTTTTAATTATTTGAGGTAGCTAAAGGAGAAAGGTTTCTTTCTTTTCAGGACTCCACTCTTCCAGTGGTTTCTTTCAGTAATCACGAGTAGTTTAGTGAATTTGTAGACAAAAATTCCCCCCCAAAATCTTGTCAATCTTGGCAGTGCTCAGTGGTGGTTAAATTATCTGAGAACACGGAGCAGACCCCAGGCATAGATTTCTCCAGCACCTTCCAGGAGAGCCAAGAGATCCAGGCAAAGCCTAAAGCACCTGCATGTTCCCAGTGACCCTCTGCACAGTGTTGCAGAGAATAATTTCCACAGGCAACGTAATTTTCTCTAATTTCTCTGGCATTTCCCCATGGAGGAGCAAAGCTGATTCCACTGGGAAGGGAATTTCAAATGCTGAGCCAGGATCTCCCCATTAGTGGCTACACATCACCAGGCAGGTGTAACTAGAGAGGTTGTTAAATACAGCTTTAGGTATTCAGCTGTTAATAATCCCTGCTTGGAAATTTGTTCCCAAACCTGGAATGGCAGTAAATGTTGTAAAGACAGTGAAATTAATTTGGAAACCACAGTGAGGAAGGTGGATGAATTGAAGAGGCACCCTCATAAAGGTGCCTGCTTTTATAAAATTGCCCTTCCCCTGGTGCCCACACCTCGTGCTGTGAGGTCACGAGTTTGGGAGGAGCCTCTACTTGCAATGTGAACACAATGGTGATGTCCAGAGAGAGGCTGTGCTGTCCCTGATCTCCCTCTGTACCAAGTAATCCCCTCCAGAAGGTCCCTGGCACAAATCCCTTCCAGAAAGAAGCTGAAAAGGGAAGATAACACATACCCGTTGTTTGGAATTCAGCATCCCCATCTCAACATCATTTTCACAGTTTTTGGCCTTGGATTTGCAGAGTTTTATGAGGCACATTTTTATTCTCAGTATGAGATAATAAAATGATTTAGGGCTTGGCACTAGATTGAAAGGAGCAGGTAAAGTCCTTCCTTCATCGAAGTAGGACAGCCAGAGCTTGGCACGTGCAAACTTCCACTCCACATCTGCATCCTCCTTGGGAAGGGAAGAGGGGAAAAACAAATCAACACCCAAATTAGTAAATAGGAAGGAATTTAGCTATGGTTAGGACAAACATACAGTTAGGAATTAAGTAGACTTAGATTCTGTTTGCCAGAAACAAGGCCCCTGCACAAAACCTGTCTTTGGGATAATCTCAAAATAAGGATAATTTAAACAGAGCGGTGAATAAACAGAGAGTAGAAGTCCTCCAAATATTAGACTATTTCCTTGGATATCAAAGGGGTTGTCTCAGTCATCAGCTTCTGCTGTGCTGATAAATGAAGGGTCAGAACACAGACAGAGTCACGGGAAGCAGACGAAACTGTTGCAAGCACAACAACAGACTGTGATTAACTGCAATGCTGTTTGTCAGCTGTCACCACTGCAGTGGCCAGGGATCCCCCAGAGAAGGGGGTAGGTCACTGCTTTCTCCTCTCACCAGCTCATTTCCTCAGGGGTCCTCTTCTCCATAGATCAATACACCTTAATTCTCCTCCTGTTCACGTCCTGTCACTGCTGAAGGTGGAGAAAAAGTCCATCAAGCAGTGCCTGTGAATCTCCTTCATGAATTGTCAAGGTGGGCCAGAATCACTTCCAAGCAATAAGGGCAAGGTTAGCAAATATTTTATGGATCTGCTTGGCACTTATGCTGGAGGATGGTCAGGGCCATGTATCAGGACCATTTATCAGGAAAAGAAAGGATGAGAGACAGCTGCTGAACAGCTTCTTCACTGTGGTTTACATGGTTTCAACAGGAGCGTGGGTCTGCCAACACCCCCTGCTCATTTACATCTGTGTTCTGCCAAAATTAATAACCTCTGATTACCCTGGACCTCTGAAACCCAGTCAAAAACTGGCACGTCACAACAGAGATTAATTCTATCGCAGTTACAGCAGTGTCTTCACTTCTGCCCTCTGCTCTTCTCTTGGTCTGGGGCTCCACCTCACAGAATTACAGACTAAATCACCTGTGGACAGTTGTAATGCCTTTCTGCTAAGCAGTTAAGAAGTACTGCTGATGGAAGCAATTCTGTTTCACGGCTGGCAAAAGGATGTTTCTTTCCATAAGTGCAAATTTGTCAGGACACATCAGCCCTTGAGGCATAAACAGAAGCAAACCAGGAGCAGCTGAAGAGAGATGTTCAGTGGAAGGCAGGAGAACACGGCCTTGTCACTCCAGGTGACAAGAAAACCATGTCCCCACTGATCCCAGTGGAATTTAATTCCTAAGAAATGTCCATCCTCTGTCACTACTGACTTTGCTGCTCTCAGATAAACACAGTGGCAAAAGGGGCTTTCTGCGCAGTCAGTCTCCATCCCTGGGATATGTCCAAACACACGTAGATGTGGCACTTAATGACATTTTAGCGCTGGATTAATGGCTGGAGTCAATGATCTTAAAGGGCTTTTCCAACCTAAACAGCTCTGTGATTGTATGACTCTGTCTTTAACCTCATTGCTGCTGAGGACTGAAGTGAGTTATCGTGAGATGCACTAGTTTTTCCTCAGTTAGGGGGATCAGGCCCAAGCAGCTCATATTTGGGTTGCTTGGTGATAATTTCGAGCAGCCTTGAACAAAGTTCTGAAAATTTCCATGCAATCAGGAAGGGTGACAAAGCATTTTGCCAGGGAACTGCTCATCACAAAGGTTGGGCTCGAAAGGTAATGTAGGCCACCTATTTGGGTATTTTCAGAGATTTTTTTTTTTGTCTTCAAAAACTTTCAAGAGCATCTCTGTCTACTGCAGTGAACTGGAAAATGCTGTAAGTAAGAGGTTGAGACCCCCTCTGAAGTAAAGCTTGTTCTGGGTTAAGAAGATTCAGGAAAATGCTTGTCCTGAAGTGATTAGAAACCTTTGGAGAAATGGCTCTGCTTTCTGCAAGCAGGAAAGCTTCTGGGGCAGGGAGCACATGTAAGGTCCCCCTGACATTTAGACTTTGTTACAGCACGCCCAGGATTGAGTTATATTTGCACTACATGGATGAATCAGCCATTACAGTGAGAAAATATTTTCAGCTCTGGCCTTTTTCAGTGTCAGGCTCTGAGGGGAGATTAGGACAACTAATTAATACAAACCCAACTGCAGAAGTTTGACATTTAACAAATCAGAAGAGGTGACTCAACATTAACATTCTCCAAATAGTGTATTTTTTTTTTCTGCCTTTATTTAGATTAGCAGAGTTGTTTATATCTAAAGCATTAAGCAAATCCACTCTGCCAACAGCCAGGCTGGGTAAACCCTGCAAATGCCTTTCTGAGAAACTATTCCTTTTGCTTGAGGGCTCTGTTTATGTGCTTTAAAAGTTGCTTTTTGTCAATGTCCAGGCAGTCATGTTTTTCAGACCTAGAGACTCCTCACAAAAAAAACCAAAACAACCCAAATCATCTGAATCAATTTTGTATGCCCAGTTATTGGAAAATATGGAATTTTTAAATATGTATACTTGAGCTTCAGATCTACATGGGCTGGAGAGTCTAAGCAGTAGAGAACAGGGCAAAAAGCCAAATGAAATATTACTCTGTTATAAGCAAACAATAAAGTTAAGACAACATATTTGGAGAAGTTATCATAACCAGCACAGGGAATAAAAAATATCACAAACCACGTTCATTGAAAACGTGTAAGGGAAATTGTGCTTACTCACAGGGGGTCATTAAAAACAAGGAAGCTGAAGTGCTTCTAGAAATGATTCATTGTTAATGATTAATTCAATTATACCCTTAACTCTTGCACAGTGTAAGATGTGTGGTCAGCATCCTAATCTTGGATTCGGAATAAGCTGTAACTTCCTTGTTTGGTTGGTTGGTTTTGCATTTTCATCATCAGTAGTAATGAAGTTCATACTCTAATTTCTTTGCTTACCTCAATTTCCTGATAGGAGTTGTTGATCATGGCTATCAACATGTTGAGCAGCACCACCACCATGGTCACGTTATAGACTCCGTAGAGTACATACCCAATATTCTCAATGAATTTATGGTCGTACTTCAGCACCACAGATATCACTTCAGATAAGCCAAATATTGACCAGAATAAGGTTTTAAAACTTTCTTCTACCCTGAAAATAAAGCAAACAGTCGCTTTGTAGGGTTGACACTGGGTTAGCCAGGCCAAGTGTTAATAAAAAAAACCAGCAATGCACTGATATAAATAAATGTCTTGGCACAGTTATTGCAGCCCATTATCCATCACCCAGGGATGTGCCAAATCATATTTCCTCGTTTGATAAAGAAATATGATTTCTGATTAATGTTACAAAGTTGCAGTGTCCCTTGATTTGCTCCATCTGTTCTTATCAGGTGCATTATTTGTCACTCAGATTTTGTGTCCCTATCAAGGACAACAATTCCATGGGCAACTTGCAGGTTGAAACTTTTTCTGTAGGTTTTTTTGCTTCTACTCACTCACTCTTTTCTCATCCAGAGAAGACAGAAGTGTCTGACCTCCTTATATGCAGTTTCCAGGGCAGAAGAGAGGACTGGAAAGTTCCGATTTGTGGCATTAATATAAAGAACACAGAGCGCAAATATAGTCAGACTATAACCTGATTTCCTTCCCATCCTGCTTTGGGACTGCAAGCAAGACAGACACCCAAGCATTTGTAGCAAAAAACTGAAGTTAAGGAGTGGTAGAAGATGCTGCAGAGAGGCATTTTGATTTGGTTATTATCCTTGCTTGAAAGTAGAAAGGAATCAGAGGAAAATAAAAGATAGGAAAAAGAGAAAGGAATAAGCCAACGAGAAAGAGAAGTGGGGCTGGAAAGAATGGGGCTGCTCTGCCAGGTCAAAAGGAGAGTCTGACCCAAGCAGCCACAGCTGAAAAGGAAAGAAAGAAGGAGGAGGAAGGATGTGACATATTTTGAAAGCAGTTTGTTTCATTTTTAATTAATAAGGCATTTTGCCTTTCCCCAGAAATCCTTAGCCTGTTAACAGTTAATTGCCTCCTCTCTCCTCCTGCCTGCCAGGAGCAAACACCTTGAAAGGAAACAATGCCATTGACAAATTATTTTGAGGAAATGTTTTTTTTTTTTGCTAGAGTGGCAGACTAATCCTGCTAAATCTGTTTATAAAACAGCTTACAGGCACAAACAATGACATATCCTACAGGAACAATAAACTTTACACAAACTCCAGTGTTGATTGTACCATTCATGAAAGCAAGAGGAATTAATTTTTACCCTTTGGTTCCTTTCTGCCACAGCAAACTGGTATTTATTTCCGATCATGATTTAGGGTATTCCACAGCAGCAATCTGGCCCTTCAAGAAATGCTGTGCTTCCCAGTTTAAGAACAGGGGCAACACCCAAGATCTCTGGTATCAAAACCCACCACATAAGTGATTTTCCAAGCTAATAAAAGCCCTAAACCCCCTAGCCTTGAGTCCACCTGCACCCTGGAGTTAACCTGCCCTTTCCATTTGGAAACCTTCCCCTGCTTTTCCACCCTGCCCGCAGATTTTAATACAACGTGTCAACTCTGCTCCTTTCTCTGCAGCTTAAACATTGACCTTTCTACTTCAGCAGTGCCAGATTCTCCTTGAAAAGTTAATTAAGGGCTGTCAGCAGCCTTGACCACCCCTGAGCACCACAGAGACAAAGGACGGGGCAGCAGGTTCCTGTGTGATATCCACAGTCCTCATGTCCAGGGTGAGGTAAGTGGGACTGGGAAGGTGGTGGAGTGGTTGGTCTGACCTGTAGCACCCCAAACTGGTGCTTAGCAATGCCCCCAGGCAGATACAAGACTCCCTCTTGCAGGTGAGATGCTTCTAAGGAGGCTTGTACTAACCCATCCCTACCCTCCAAAAAACACTGGATGGCTCTTTCCTCCTCCTTTTTAAATTCCTGTGAGAGTGCATGAGCTTTGGCACAGGTTGCAAGGAACATCAGTGGGGCTTTTTTAGGAACATTTCACTAAAACATGAGAGGAGGATGTTTGGAGACAAGATCCCTAAGATTCCAAGACGCTGACGTGCCTCAGCGTTGCCAGGTAAGCAATTTACCCCCTTCCTGCAAGGTCAGCAGGTGTTTTATCCTTCCCAAAGACAGACAAATGAAAGGATGGAGGAAGTCAGGAGTCCTGCCCAGACTGACAGCTCCTGGCAGCAGGAGGGCCTGGCAGTGACAGATTGAATGATGCTCCTTGTGGAGGTGGGTTTGCTGCAATCTCCCTCCCAGCTGTTCTGGTGGGGAGACAACAAAGATGATTTTCCATTTGTTTGTTTGTTTCAGAACACACAGTTCAGTTAAACCTCAAGATTTTGCATCAAGGAAGGAAACAGGCCACAGACAATAATCCAGCTACAGATTTTCCTCACTTTTGTAAAGAGCAGTGTGCTGTTACCAAAAAAGATCCCAGCAAGGCTATGGTTTCGTGTCAGTCTTGTGCCCTCCTCTTTAAGAAAGCTCAAGGCAACCTTTCAGATTGATTTCCTTAAATGAGTTGGAGAACCATCACTGCCAAAAAAGCGCTGCAGCCAATATAATCCCCCAAACTATCACATTTTGACAAAGCAAAACAAAGTAGAAAAAAAGCCTTCAAGCCTCGAAGTAGCATTGGCACTGAGAAGTGAGTCACATTTCCCTTTGGGGAGAGGGAGACAGAAAGCCGCCTTGTGTTGCAGCCTTCAGCCTGATTTGTGATGCAGAAAGCAAGAGGAACACAATCAGCCTTGCCTCCATTTTGATTTTGTTTGCATAGCATGTTCTTAATTACAGGCTGTTTCGAGAGCTGTGTGCTGTACACAGCATATGATAAACAGATAAACATAGCTGGGGGTGGAAATGGTCTGCTCTTCAGCAGGGAAGAACTTGCAAAAATTTTTTGAAATTGGCCCATGGTTAGGTAAATAATCTCTCTACTTAGCTGTGTGGACTAAAGTCCACTGCTTCTTTATTTCCTTTGCATCCTGGACATCAGAATGGAAGAAATGAGAGAAACTTCGCATGATAACTTGATTCAGAGGCCACTGGGGTGCTACTTTCTTGCTCTGTAGGTGACAACAGAAGAGAAATCGAGCACATGATTTCACCAGTGTAAGAGCGAGGAAAGGTGAAAGCCAAGTTGCACCAAACATTCACTAACATTAGAACTGAGCAAGTTCCCTCTGAGTGTTATCTGGACACAAGGACACGCTTTTTTCTGCCTACATGCTCTGCTGGGAAGGTGTGGTTTTCGTAAGAGTGCAATTTGGAGTTATTTGAGTGAGCAGCTCTTTGTCTAAGGGTTCCCACTGGGCCTGTCCAGGGAGGTGTCAACCCAACGACTTTGAATCTGGCCACAGTCACTGAAGTGCACGAATCCAAGGGGGCTTCTTCTGTCACAGCTATCCAAGTGACCTCTGAGAATCAGGTCCCACAGTCAGATCGTCACATTTCTCAGTGCCAAACTCTCTTGCTGTACAACATCACCCATCCTCATTAGAACTGCCAAACAACCCCCGGGAAATGCGTTCGGCGATGTCGCTGAAGTCATGGTCACAGGAGGGTTGTGAGGACACCAAATTGAGCAACACCCTCCTTTGCCCCAGTGATTTTTCAGGGAATGAGCAGCTGAGATCCTTTTTTAGCACTAACACTGAAATCTTCCTCCTTTTCACGTGTAAGTTGATGGCAGCAGGAGCCACAACCTTCATCAAGGCCCGCAGACAGCCACGAAAAATAAAGAAGGAAACATTGCTATAGCTGGTGGCTGCCCATCTGCCAAAATAACCTTGTAATTAGCTTATTAAAATTGTTTGAGACTGTCTACCCCGGGGCTTCTTGTTGAATGGAATGCCTAAGAAAGATTTTTGGGAGGAATGCAAATCTATTCTCTTTGTTTTGTAGGATGAAAGGGCTCGTTTTCACTGATCATCGTTTGACACTCCTGAGTGTTTAAATAATCAGAAGAAAGTAAGTATTTTTAAAATCTCTTCCAAATTCTTTAAAGGAAAATTCATGCTCATGGAAAATTTGCTTTATAATGACATGAAGTCCCTCCAGGATAAGCTGTCAGCAGGCTGAAGTTAAGGAGGAAGAGCTCTCCCCAGCCCAAGTATCCCTTGGGCATTTGAGCAATCTTTCCTCCACTGAGCAGTCATCACTTTTAGTGAATGTTTGCTCATTATTTCAATCAAAAGATGGTAACTCCTGCAAGATCCGCTTAGCTAATGAGTGCTAATAAGAGAGTTACTGTGCAGAATTGCATCAGAGACTGGAATTTGTTGCTGACGTGCCTGGGGGATGCCGTCAGTGAGGGTTGCTGTGCCACCAGGCAAGCAGGGATGGTAGTGACTCGACTTTTCTGTAAGTCTTGTGCTTCAAGGGCATCTCCTTCTCTTCAAATCTGAAGCAAGTCACAGCCCACACACTCAATTTTCTTCTCCCTCACTACTGGGCGCAGATAAATGTAGATGGGTCTGGTCTCATAAATCCTTCCATTGGAATGCACCCCGAGGCTACAGGAGAGGTCTGGGAGGCATATTTGGCTCAACCAGAGGAAGCAAACGCAATGTTGCAGGTTACACGTGGCACAAGGGGGTGGTGTGGTAAAACTGGAAGGCAACAGCCACTTGCAGCACAGAAATGATGCTGAAAAGGCCTTTCCTCCTAAGAGGAGTGATGAGCTCAGCCCCAGGCTCTCTGTGTAACCTGTTAGAGAACTGACACATCAAATGCAGCATCAAATGTCTGCTCTGCACCTGGAAACCACCGTGGGCTCAGGCACTGTGGGGTGGTTTCCCGGGATTCAGCTCCCAGCAAGGGGAAAACGTTATGCCAAACTTTCCCTCCCAGACAGGTGTGTGGGCAGGAACGTCCTCACTGTGTCCCTAAGGCCTTCACATGGCCTCTGCTGACAAGAAACCACATCCCAGGCGCCCAAATCCTCCCTTATTTTACACACATTTCACCTCGCAGTTTTAAGAACAACAATCTCAGGTTTAACTTTTTCCCCGCTCCATCTCCTGCCACGTTGAACTGAGCACCTCACTAAACCTTTTCCTGACCCACTATTTTGACTTCTAGAAAGGACCATTTCTGAACTGCTCGGCTCCCTGCACTCAGGCCTAGAGATGCCTGCCACAGGGCTGGAGCTGTGGGATGAGCTTCCCTGCCAAAATCTGGATGTGATTTCCCCCACACAGAAACTACCAGAGCACCAGCAATGGATCAGTAGGGATGGAGCCTTTCCTCTCTGAGATTACTGAGAAACTGCTCCACATCTGGCACAGGCTGCAAGGAACATCAGCTGAGCTTTTTTCAAGAAACTCTCACTAAAACACGAGAGGAGGCTGTTTGGAGCCAAGTCCCCGAAAATTCCAAGCCCGGAGCGGCAGGAACAGCCGCTCCCCCCGCGGTACTCACGTGGTGAAGGCGGGGTTGTACTTTGCACCCAGGTAGTAGGAGTAAAGGTTGAACATCCCAATCATGAAGGCGAGGAACACCATGATGAAGATGACCATGAACTTGAAGATATCCTTCACAGTCCTCCCCAGGGAGATCTGCAGGGGGCCGAAGCTTTCGTTGGCTGGAAGAATGTAAGCAATGCGGGAGAAGCTGAGTACCACAGCTATGGCATACAGGCCTTCTGAAATGATCTGGGGATCCGAGGGGAGCCACTTGTTCCTGGCTAAAACAATACATGGACACGGGGTGTTAGTAACAAAAGAGTGGCAGGTGGAAGCGATCGCGATAAATGACCCTTTTCCACACCGAATTTTGGCTTTGGCCAGGAGATAAAGAGAAAAGCAAAACAGTTTTGGAACAACTGTGCACTGAAGTCCTCAGCATGCTGGAGAATTAGTGAATTAATTGCATTTTTCAGGTGGTAAAGATGAGAAATGAACAAGTTACTGGGGTTTACTGAAGCCAAGCAGCAACAACAACAAAAAAACCCCAAACAACCAGCATGGCTTTAAAAAAACTTGGTGTTTTCTGTTTGTTGAATGTCAATTTTTCCATGTGAAGCCCTTGAGATGGAGAACCAAAAGCACGGCACAGTGGAGTGTAGCTATAGATTTTATACAGGGCACTGTGACAGTGTTTGGGAAGGGAGCATTAGGGAGACTGAGATCTCTATCCCCAGCACTCGATAAGAACGTTAGGATTTGTTCAGATAAAGCAGATATGAAGTGTATAATTTTCGTCTTATCTTTACAATAAAACCAGTTCTCACAGTCTAGTCACTGAAATATTTTTACCTAAAAAAGCTCCTTGTTGATACCAGATATGCATCATTTACTTAATCCACTGACAATTTGAACATTTATATTAACGTGGCTTATAAGGGTCCTTGCATCAACTGAGCTTCTTGATGAGAAGATCGTGGCTCAGAGCTAAAACATGTGACATCTTTAGGGCCACAGCAGCAAACTTAGGCATTATTTCCAGTAAAATCTGAACCAAAGGAAAAGCAGCAGATGGAGAAATTCACAGGATCTCGTTGTGATATTCTGTTCTGGACCCTTTGCACCTTTGGATCATGAACTCGCTTTAAGTGGATCAGCAGCAAACCAGAGAGGGAAAAATATCATCTCCATGGGCTCTCGCTTGCCTGGGCAGAAGGAGGGATGTTTTCCTTCAGGGGGGACACAACAAGCAAGGGGCTGAGCTGGTGGGACCACCAGACTGTGGTTCTGCACCTTACTGGGGGGTCAGGCCTCGTGTCCCTGGTGCTGCCTGGGGCAGGTCTGCAGTGTCTGCTGCCTCAGATCTCCCTCTCCAGCCCAAGCACATCACTGGAACAACCACCTTACAACTCCAGGGAGCAAATGGTGCCCATCTCTGGAGCTCCTGAAGCCTGCCTGTGAGCAAAAATCCTCCTGGGATTTGCTCAGGGTGACATGTAAAGCTTGCAGAGGGAGGGGTGCAGTGGATCCGGTCCCCACGCTGCACATCAAAGAAAAACCATTTCAGCCATCAAAAATAACGTTGTGAAAGCACTGCTGCTGCTTTAGCACTTACAGATGATGACTTACAGGCTCTACAAAACCACAGGTTTTTGAGGAGCAGCTCATGGATGTAATTGCTATTTTAATTTCCATTATACAGGTGTTGGATGTAACAGAAGCACAGAGTGCACCCACAGTTAGAGATGCAGCCCCTACGTTCTATATTTATTCACACATTTCCCTCCTCTCACATTTGGAAAACCAAGCAGGTTACTTCATCTGTAATGTAAATTGTACTCTGCTCACTCCCAGTTCCTGATTATCTGCTGCTCAAGCTACTTTTTCAGGATGTGATTGATCTGAATGTTGACTCGGGACAGCATCAGAGACTGGGCGAGGCTCAGATCTTTTCTGACTGTTTAGGAAGATGGCTGGAATGGGTAGATGTGGGAAGAATAATTTGGTTTAATTAGAAAAAAAAACCCCACATAAAATATCCCCAAAAGAAATCTGCTTTCAGCACTGGCACACATGAGCCTAAAAGAACAGTGAGCACTAGAGAACAAAAAGCATCTTACCATAGGTAAAGTAAGCAACTTCAGGGGGAAGGGTGACATTGTTGAGGTCGTCGTCTTGAACGTACTGGTCCACGTACTGTTGTGCTTCAGAGGCTTTGAGAAAAGCCATGAACCTGGCAGTGAATGATGCTACGAAGATGGACAGCATCCCAAAGTCCAGCAGGTTCCAGAGATGCACCACGTATTCCCGTGGCCCCTCTTCCCAGATCTCCTTGCACTCGGACCAGATCATGCCTGCGGAGAGGACAGGGTATGTTTAAACACATAGAAGGTGTGTTTGTGCTCAGACTGACCTGCTTCCTGGCCAACAGTGAAGAAAAGAACTCTTTAATGAAACTCGTTCTCGAGAATGGCTCGTGTCATCTTTTCTTAAAAATTCTTCCACAGTTATAGCTCACGTGTCCTTTTGTTCTCGTGAGGTAGAAATTTCATAATATCACTGTGTAAGTCAATGGCAAAGCTGATTTCTGGTGATGACAGAGAAAGCAGAAATTCTGATGGCACTAGAAAATCCTATTGCAGCTATATTTGGAAAAAAACTGTGGATTTCCTCTCTTGTCCCCAAAATCCCCTTGCTGAACAGTGCCACTGAAGATGGCCCTGCTTGCCCTGCTGCTGTTTCCCTCCTTCCCTCAGGTAGTGGGTGGGTCCATTTTGAGAATGCAAACAGAGCTGTGCAAGAGAAAAGATCCAGGAGTAGGTTCAGTGTGATTAGAGACAGGGTAAAAGGCAGAAGTTCTGCCCTTCCAACACTTTTCATAAAGTTTTTGGAATTAAATAATGATTTCCCATACATTAAAGTGTGATCTACCACTTTAAACACTGAGTTTAGCCCGAATTCAGGATTTCTGACAACAGACTTACAGATAAACCTATAAATGCCAAACGTAGTGAATTCAAATGCTTTGACATCTATCCCCTACTGGGAAGTGCTGGGGCAGACAGGTGAATTCAGCAGGCAAGAATTCAGGTCAGATTCACTAACTTGCCCAACTTTCAATCACAGCAGGGCTCCAGGGTCAAACCCTGCTCCTGAGTAGATAAAGTGTTGGAATATTTAACCCACTGATAAATATTTCCTGCACTCTCCCCAGTCCTGTTTCCATAGCAGCAGCAGCAAAATTCTTGTTCAATCACGAAGGAGCAGTGCCTGCCCATTTCCACGTGGCCTCCCGCAATCTTCTCCTTCTTGTGAACTCCTTTCATCCTCTCTGCTGGAAGCTGTCGTGGTGTGGCACGGAAATGCATTTGCTGGGCTACTTCTGAGACTCCTGGAAGCACAGGAGTGTCCCAGGAGGTGCCCTGGAAAGCTGGGTTAGAAGCAGGGAAACAGGTCAGTGGGAATCCAGCCCGAGGGTGGAGGAGTGGAGAGCTGCTGCTGTCAGTGCCTGCGTGCAGGGGAGGATTTTAGGAGAGAAAGGAAAGCTAAGCTGTCCATATCCCCCCCATCAGCTAAAGCATAGCCAGCCTGTGACCTCCACAGCCCTGGAATGGCCAGGTGGGTCCCTGGAGATGTGCCCTGATGTGGGTTATGCCCTGCATAGCAGAGGGAGGGCAGGAGAGGAACCTCTGCAGGTGCTTGGCTGAGTAAAAGCAGCAACTTCATCCCAAACTGTCACTCAAGGTTTAATAATAAATAGCCTCAGGGAGCAGGTGGAAGAATTGGTTTCTCAGGAATTTTCCTGGAGCGAGGATGAAATATTAAAGAGACATTTCTTGCTCTAAAATGCTTTTTAAACTCCCTGGGATGATGGATAGGAGCCATTAGCCCCACGTGTGACGCATGTGTGTCGCGTGAAGGTACGAAAGCTCTCCAGGAAACATCACGTGGCAGCATCACCCAGTAAAGCATTCGCTCTCTGATGACCAGAAATGACTTCTCTGGTTGAAATATTAACTCTCCCGTCCAAATTTATTTCTAATCTCGCTCCCTTAATATACCTAAGTCACAGATTAATGGAGAAGGAAGTGTCTAAAACTGAGTAGACTGACTAAAATTAGAATCACTCAGTGAAAGTGTCACACTATTGGCCTATAATCATTCTTTTAGCCAGCTGTGTTACAATACTTTTTTTTAAAGATGTCTATTCAGGATAAGTAGAAAAGTTCCAGTAATTATTCAGCCAGTACTGCTGGATGATTGTATATACATTGAGAGAGAGTGTTTCAAAGCTTCTCCTTAAGTAAAAGCACTGAGAAGAGAAAAAGCAGCTAAAATTCAGGGGATGGGACATAAGAGGTCATTTCCCTGAGTTTAATGCACAGGGATGTGGGATATGAGCAGCTCCTGCATGTCTCTTGTTCCCCCACAGCAGGGATAATCAGAAATGTCACCTTGATCAGCAGGTCTGCTTTCAGCAGGGGAAGGAAAGTTAAGCTACAGGCACAGCCCATCTGGAAGAAAAATGGGAGTGTGCAAGAAGTGCTGCTCACCACCTGTGCACTGAGGAGCAGTTTGTCAGATTTTATATCCTCTGGCCTGGGACATAAATCAGGAGCAGCTGATGTTGCAGAGATGCCTTTGAACCTTCCTGGATCCACCAAAGGCTGTTGCATTAAGAGATTAGTAGTGCTCAGATTGCATCTACCCAGAGTTCAGCTGCTACCCAGGCTGCTTTTGCAGTGGGGATTTTGTCCAGTTAAATGACATCTGCAGCCCTTCCCTGGTCTGCTCACATAACTCCATCACAGAAGGCTGCTAAGCTGATCTATGTCAGCCACTTTTATTTCATTATCATTCTACTTATCTATAAATATTTATAATAACCTCTAAGCTTTTAGCACCAAAAGGCTGGGCAGTCACCACCCTTAGTCCTTAAAGGTTAAGGTCACACATGGGGCTCAACAAGTGCCCAAGTCTCTGTGCCAGCTTCGGGCCATCTGCATCAAACTTTCACCTCCAGGATTGCTGAAAGGTTTTTGAAGCTTTCTGTAGGCGTGCAGGTGAAACGGCCAGAGCAGATTGTCAGTGCAGATGTAGGCAGTCATTAGAAAATCTCATTATACTCAAGAGTCTGGACAATGAATCACCTCTCTTCTCCCAGAAAAGTGAAAACCTTTGCTCTAAATGAAATGTTTTCTTCTTCATCTCTCAGGAACTCACCAAGCAGACAGATACCTACTGCCCATAAGAAAAGAATACCTCGTCTAAAATCTAATCATCTTGTCCAACTGCTTTAATATCATTTTAAAAATATATCTTACAGACTTACTCTATCCAGTCTGGCATCTATTCAGTATTTTCTAGCCTAATATCCTGCATGGGATTCTGATTATTGCAGGGACAGGGAACAAAGAAACAGTGGCCAGGAAGTCATCAGATAGAGCAGCCCTATCCTATTTTTCAGGGGATTTAATGCCATCAGTACTTATGGAACAGTGGAATTATTTGCTGCAAGAGAAGAATCCGAATCATGGTGGTGAGCAAAAATAGATATAAAGGAGGCAGAGAAAGATTCTGCAGAGCTGATAAGCTCAATTTCCCAATAAATCCTCCTGAGCTTGTTTAGATTAGCAGTTCAAGCTGACTGATCTGCCAGGAATAAATGAAGCCTGTAGGAAAAGTCATACATCTGAATCTGCCTAAAACTCCTTGGAAATTTAACCTGTGCCTGTGACATACTTCTGCACCTGAAGGGTTCACCCACATGAATCCTTACTTTATAATTGTTGAAGAACTTTATTTCTTTCAAAAGATTTGAGCTCTATGCTGTCCTCTCACCTGTAGAATTGTCACACTGGGAATTTCATAAAACCCAACTCTTGCTTGCCTGACAGTTTTCATCACTAGATCTCAGAGTGCATTGCAAAAAAAAAAAAAAAAAAAAAAAAAAAAAAAAAAAAAAAAAAAAAGGCAAATAACATTATTTTCATTTTTTCAGACAAAATAGCTGAGGTTCAGTGAATTAGAATAGGATCATAATAAGATGCCATGGCAGGGTAATAAATCAAGCAGGCTCCCCACACTTCTTTCTGCTCACTTTAGGTGGAGCAACATCCTAGACTGAAGCTACAACTTTCTCTTATAGTACTACCTTCTTTAAGATGCAATGGTTAAACCAACAGAGGCCAACAGGCAACATCCATAGCATTTCCCACAGAAAGTGGAAAATCAGGAAAGTGAGAATTTCCCGAGCATCCTTCAACAGCTTCAAAAGCAGTGACCAAACCCAAAATTAATAATTCAAAAGTCCTGACCAAAATTAAACCCTTTTATCACCTTTTAATCGAAACTCTGCCATCAACCTCTAGGCTTATGGTGGTTTGTTTTCATTTCAGGGGTGTTTTCTTGGTTTGGGGGTATTTTTTGTCATGTTATTCCCAAGGAGCTTGAATTTCCCCAGAGGACTTGCAGACACTTGGTCTTACTCACCCAACACCCACTTCATGATGAGCAGCTCTGTCCACGAGAACTGGGTGGTTTTGACTCTGAATATTTGTTTCGGGTGGTCCGTGATGGTCTCGTTGGGGAGGTTTTTGACTCCCTCGAATCGATCCGAGGCGTTCACCACCAGCAGTCCCAGGAAGATGGTGAAAGAAACCGCGTGTGCCACGAACTTCATGAAAGGACTTCTGAGGGTCCGGCCCAGCTGCAGTGGAGCACAAAACACACAGAGGATTTTAATTAATTAATTTATTTATTTATTTTTAATTTATCCACCTCCTGGGAGTTTTTTTTTCCCTGTAAAAATTTGAATATTATTATATTCATATATATAAACATTTGAATGTTTTCTCGTAAAAAGTTTCTACATTTTGCCCAAGGTGAGAAGGATTCAGAACTTATTTGTGGATCATTAGCTAAATTGGGTGTAGATTTGTTCCAGTTGTTATTTGCTATTACTAGACATTATGCTTTGGGTGATTTTCTATCTTATATTGCTCCTTTAAACCCACACATAATATCTAATTGTCCTGACCATATGGGGAGTGGAAAATTAAAAGACAGGACATTTGTATGAGAGACATGTTTGTTTGTAGATGTGAGTGTGAATGTACTTATGTGTCAATATAAATCCTAGTGATGGACACAATTCTCATCCTTAAATTACTATTATATATTAGAATCTTTTATTAATGGTGAATTTTTGATTCATTTTCAATGAGTAAGAAACAGCTTTCTGTTTAAATATTCTCTAGCAATGCTTTCTGTATGCTTTGCTTTGCTAATCTTCTCTCATAATTACTACAAAATCTGGGGAATCACTCCCAGAACACAAGGATTTATTTCAGGACATTAAGCCAAGAACCAGAGCAGCAGCTCTCTTCTCTACAGATAATATTTGTTCCATTTTTCTTGAGAGGCTTTCTTGGTTAATGAATTTAAACATCGTTCTTTTTATTTTACATTTTCTGTGAACTAAAAAAAACCCAAAACCAGAGTAGAAGCATTTTCAGGAGCACCAGAACTGATGTTGGACACGACAGAGAGCAATGGAAGAGCTGTCCTGGATGGGCCCTTTGCAAACATCCCTCACAACAAATTCCCCTTGGCGGCAAGGTGTCATCAAATTTTTCTTAGTATCTGCTCACTTAATCGTGAAACTTCCTAGGAAATATGAAAAAGGACTAAAAAAGGCAATTCCTTGGGGTTTTATTTATCTCTAAGAGTAGATCAGTTCAAAGGAACCCAGCTCTCTGGTCACCCAAGAGCAGGAAATATTGGAAAAGCAAAGCTCTTGTCATTGTATTTTCAGGCAACAGACTGTACAATTTTTCTGTTCTATCTTTTATCTTCCCTTTTGATCACCAGTGAAAAAGGTTTGGGAGACCAACGGTTCATTTCAGAGTCATGGCCTGAAAGAGGCGGATGAGTCAACTCGGATATTTCAGGACAGGACGGGCTCAAACTCCACAGGGCTTGTCAACAGTTTGTGCATCCAGAGGTGAATGAATGACTGACACTAAAATTGACTGAAAAATAGACAGTTCTGTGCAACTGAATGCAAAAGAATCCTTAAAGCTGAGTTGCAAACTCCAGTCAATACTATTTGCCAAGTTTTGGAGGGAGTATTTGATATGGTACATCCTAACCCCACAGAGTTTTATTAAGGAAAATTTTCCACTGGGGAGGAAAGGTTTGAAAACAAGTTTCTTGTTAAGATACACGAGGGAAGGAATTCTTTTGAGATATGAATTCCTCTATTATTCTATGTGAAACTGCAGAATTTGATCATCTTAAGCTTGTGATGCACAGTAATATTGGCCAGGACAGCTCCTATGAGCAGTATTCCTCATTAGAGATTTCCTTAATTTTTCTCACTGCCTTAGTCCAGAAATTAATTCCTGATTCATTCCTGGGCATTTGTGTGTCTCTTAAAACAGGCCTGACTTGAGTTAAGTTAAATATTTCAATTATCTGTTACTATGGAAAAATTTTTTCATTACCCAGCTGTGTATCAAGATTGTTTCCATCAGTTAAAACCAAGTAAAACACTTGTAAAATGGACCAGGACAAAACTGGGCTGCTCAGAATCACAAATCTTCTGCATCACACACAAATCTTCTCTAATACCCCCATCCTTTCAGTGGATCTGCTGCCTGGGGGGGAATTTTCTGCAGTGACACTGGGAGAGGATTCAAAGCTCGTGGATCAATCCCCAGCCCTTGAACTTAATAATGATGATTTAGGGGGAGGTGCCAGTTCATGGGGGGAAAAATGCATTTGTTATTCCGTTATTTCTCTCACAATCAAAAAAATCAAGACTCCATTGTTCTGATCAAGGCAAATCTGTGCATAGAGAGACAATCCCCGCCTGAAAGAAATGTCAATTGGACTCTGTGCTGGAAGGTTACATGTTGTTTTTTACAGTCTAAAGTGAGGTGAAAAGAAAGGAACACTGAAAAGTGAGAATGCATGAAAGGTTGAGTGTAATGAAATCAAAGTTGATGAAAAGTTAAATCCCCCTCCCTCCATTTTAATTCCAATAAACCTCCCTCAAGAAATTAAATACAAGTGACTTTCTCAGTAATTTCTTTTTTCTGTTGTATAACCATTTTATTTTTAAATTGTTTAACTTCATTTTATTTCTCCTTAGTTTTCATGCCTTTCATGTAAACTCTCCACTTATTTCTAGTCCAATTGTTCTTCCCACCTATTGCTGTATTCAAATGTGACCTGTGTAATTCTGAGAATGCACCACAAATGTTGCTGTTGGCTGGTCCTTCGACCTCTGGGTCTCAAAAACCCTTCTGCTCCATCTGATCTGTATTTGGGAACACTGCATCATTCCAAGTTTCATCATCTTTTCTCTCAAAAGCAGAAGGGTTTTTATGATTCAGTCTAATCTCTGCAGCACTAAGAAGTTCCCTGGGGCTTGCCAGACTTTCAGGCCCGTGTGCCATAATAATGCTCAAGAGTCTTCTCTCTTTTAGTTATTCCCAATATTGGTGGCTCTTTATTCTTTCTTCACCCCACTCCTGTGTGGTGAAGGTGTCCATTTCTAACTGTTCTTTTCTTGTCCACCACTGCCTCACCCTATTTCCCCACCATCCCACCTTTAAAACTGATGAACCCCAAGCCATGCCTGTTAGTTCCAGGTGTGTATGTCAATCAACACCCCAGGCTCGCTCTCCTGTGGGTACCACGAATCACCTCCCAGGGACATGATGGAAAAAACACTCGACTTCATTCCAGGCCCTGGATGAAGTGACCACAGACCCCCTGCACCTTGCTGAGGTCATACCTTGCTGCAGGGAGCGATCCAGTAGGCTATGGCAAGGAAGGGCAGGCCAATGGAGACTCCAAAGACAGCCAAGAACTTCACAGCTATGGATTGCTGCCGCAGGCCGGAGAGGTTCTCGTACCACATGGTGAGCAGCTGCTGCTGGCAGTTGGGGTGAGCAACAAACTGGGGGGGAAACAGAGATAAAGGTGTCAGTGGCATTATCTGAGGAGGGTGAGATTTCAGGGAATGCCCTGATGAACTTGCCCACGGGACAAGACAGGGCATCTTTGTTGTCACAAAGAACTGCAAACCACGTACCCCAAATCCCCAGGTGCTGGCAGAGCGTGTTCCACTTCTCCTCCTCATCTTCTCTAAAGAAAAGGGTTTTTTTTTTTTTTTTAAATGATTAAAAAGCACAATGGTTGGGCTAAAACACAAAATCCATCAGTGGACAGCACTGACAAACTATCTCTGAGCAAGTTACTTCTTGGGGTAATACAATCTACACAGAGAATCTAAAAAGAAGCAGAGGTGTTTTGAGGTCAAGCTGAAAAAATCCTGTGGTGATTTGCTAGACACTTAGACCATTGGCATAGTAGGTTTACACAGCACTAGAACTATCTTGTTATATTCACTGCGTGAAGACTAAAAGTGAACCATCCTGCAGGGTTCTCCTGTAAATTATAAGAGATCTGGCCAGTATTTGATGACTTTAAATGCTTTATCTCAGAGTATCTTTCAAAAAAACGACGGCTCCTTCTTTACTGATCAGACAAAAAGACAAATCTGAAAGCAGGAGGAAAAAACTGTGGTGCTCTGGTACAGAAAGTACATGTTTTGTATCCTGGAACTGAGACTATTCCTCAGTTTATTGTTCAGAGGTAAAAGAAAAGGCAGACGAGGGAAAAGGGCAATTTCTTAACGGCAAAGTTACAGCAACACCAGATCCCACGTAACAATTTTATAAAAAAAGATTAAACTTCTTGATTTTATGTTGTCCTTCCAGATGATTGAATTTAGAATGTGCTAATTGCACTGGCAGAAGTGAGGGTTTCATTTTTTAGTTCAGTGGCTGAATAGATGTTCCTGGGAGGGAAATGTAAAATGTCCCACTATTTCAAGGAGCAGAACTTTCTGGAGGTGGAGGGGAGGATGAAGGAGGTCAAGAGGGAAAGAGAGGAGGAAAGAAAAGGTTACTGAGGGCTTGGTGACCAACCTTGCCCTGTGTCAGCCCTTTCAGCTTTACCCAGCTGGGGGATTTCAGCTGTCTCCTGTAGTTTTATTGTAACTGAAAAGTAGAGAAAACTCTCGCTGTGCTTTCATCTTCCCTATCTGTGAACTTAATGGACTCTTTTTGGCGTGTTTGCATAATAACAAAACTGTTAAATGTGAGTTGAAATGATCAGCTCATCGCTGGTGCAGAATGAAATACAGTTGCACAGTAATTAGGGTTGCTGTGCAATAGCACTTTTCCTTCATTAATAGCACATTAGCAGCTATTTAAAATGTGCTTCTTCAGATGAATTAGGCTTTGGGGTCTACATTTCTCAGAAAGAAAAATAAAAATCAAAAAAAAAGCCAGTGAGACTTTACCACTGAATAAGTCAATCAGAAAGAAGACATTTGGTAGGCACTTTTGACCTCCTTTGTCTTTGGATTTTTTTTTTTTTTCCTGGAAATATTAACATTTAATGTGCCTTTTTTTAAGCTGCTTTCAAAAATAAGAAAACTTTGAGAAAAGGTAATTATAAATCATGAGTTTTAGTCCTTCTAAGCATTTAAATTTTAAGGTGGAGGTGATGACAGCAGTACCACAAGGAGGCATTTCCTAATGTCCAGTGTTTGTGCTAATGCTGCTTGGGCTCTTTATCTTTCTGGTAAAAGGACAGAAGGATGAAGTGGAAGGAAGTTCAACAGAGAATTAATGCCTTTTGTAAAATTTATTTTCAGATGTGACGAATTCAACAACTCATGGAAAGGAGAATTACGCTGGTAGATGTGCAGACTTCTGAGCTGAAGGGCCCAAGCAACACCCAGGCTTCCTCCTCTTGCAACTATTCATTGCATTATGAGAATTGTTTCAGACAGAGAAGTTCAGTTGTCCTTGGCAATGAGACAGCCAAAGACTTTGGCTGGTTTGGCCCTTCCAGAGAACTCATCAGACATTTTAATCTGCTCATTTTTTCCCTTTGTCTGGGAACAGCTACAATGAAAATACAAATACAGGAAAATTGAGAGGGAATTGTCATAAAACGCAGCTCAGTGGAACGATTTATTCTGTTCAAGGCAATAAAGATGGGCAGCAGGCCACAGAGCCTCAGTGGTGTTCATCTCCCTCTGATTATTGCAGAAATGAGATAAGAAAGATCAGAGCATGGATGAGTTTGGATCTGTGGTTTGCTTACAGCAAGCAGGACGGTTTTTCATGATGTCAGACAATAATGAAACACACAGTGACCCCTGGCCACTGCCAGCCCTCTCCCCATCAGCAGCTGGTCTCAGATCTCCTGAGAGATGTTACAGAGCCACTGGACTTCCTCTCTTCCCTGGGAATGGGCACTGACACCGAGTTCAAGATGACACTGATGCTTTGCTTGGTGACTTGGGCACGGAGAGGAGCAGAGCTTGAGACAGAAGTGTGGCAGAATCCTTCAAAATGTGATGAAAAACGGTGATATTGAATTTCAGAGGGCAGTGCTTTTTCAGAGTTCCCATTAAGTGCTCTTTTCCTTTCTTCAGCACTGGAAAATGAGGCTGGGAGGCTTTTAGGGACAAACTGTGGATGCTCCTGTGCTGCATCCCAGAAGATGAGAGAGGCAGGGAGTGCTGCAGCAAGAGTGGTGTGAGCAGGGCTGTGCAGGAGGGCAAGAGATCTCTGATTGAAATGGAAGCCCTGGCAGGGAGGGGATTGCCTGGCTCCAAACCCAGCCATTTAGAAGCATAAAGTGCTTTATCTCCCAGTCCCCTCCAAGCTGATAAGGGTAATGCAGCAGGATCTGGGAGCTCAAGCAAAATGTTTGCCAGTGCTTCTGCATTCAGCAACCACGGTGGGAGCTGCTCTGGTCCCATGGCACTGGGACCCCAGTAGATGGCACTGGTTTTTCCTTATACTTCTGATTTGGGAAGGAAATTGTGCTTCCCTCCAGCCTATCAGTCACACAGCTTTTTAAGTTAAAAAAAAAAAAGGCTAAAGAAAAAAATATAATAAAGTCACACATCAATCTGAAGAGTCAGCCCTAATAACAAAGCTGCCAAAGCAGCATTTTTGAGAGGCACTGCAAGACTCAGCAAAAGACACTTCCAAAAGCCCCTGTCATGTGTGCCACAGGGGATTACATGATAGAGATGAACATTTTTTCTGGAATATGGGGAAAAAAAGCCTCTGAAAGCCTTCAGTGGGAATTGAAAGGGCCCAAAGGAACTGTTTTACACACAGAAACAGCGTTTGAGGCCGCTGTGGAAACCACATTGAGCAGTAACTTTTCCATGTTGCCATCTAATTTGATGCATGACAGCTCTTTCTGGTAACTCAGCAGGTATATGCATTGTGGGAAAGCACCTCACAGCTCTCATTTTTTTCCTCAAAATACTTGTTCAAAAACGCAGAAGTTTCACTACACAGATGATAAAGTACCTGTATGCCTCGATAAATACATAGGAAGTTACTTCTGGTAGAAAACACTGTGATAGAGAGACTTTTAGTTTCTGTTTTGTGTTATATTGAGCAGAGAAAGAGCCTGTGATGAGGAAAATGTGCTGTTCAGTATTAGCACTGACTTGCCTAAGCTGCCAGTGGGTAGGCACTGTTTAAAACAGTCCTAAACCCCTCATGATCCCTGTTTTAAGGGCATCCCTCCCATCCTGTGGCACATAAGAGATAAGCTACAGCCAGGTGACAAACAAAAAAAAACCAACACAAAACTCACACATCAAAGAGGAAAAAAAGGGGGAAAAAATAAAAATAAATATAAGAGAGAAAATGAGAGAAGAGAGAAGAAAGAGGAGAGGAGAGAGGAATCTCTACCTTGAACAGAAAGAAGGTGTCAGCAAAAATAAGGAAACTTATGGCAAGACAGGTAAAAGACGGAGATCAGCCTCAGGTGCTTGGAATTGATCATGCAAAAAGAAACCAGTATCTCTTTTATTACTGAAATAATTCTAATTCCCTTAAAAGGGCAGAAATCTCCCACTGAAGCAGAAGAATGAACCACCCTGACAGGATCATTTCACTGCTAATGCACCCTACCCTGCACAGCCAGGGGCTGAGGTAGGAAGGACAAACTCATCAGGGAAGCAGTGCAAGCAGTTTAAAAACCTGCATGTCAGATCTAACAAAGCAAAGCTGTGACTGGAACATCCTGAGGTGCTCCTGTCTCGTTCTCTGAGCTTGTCCCTTCCCTCTCGGCCTTGTGGCAAACCTGGGTGTGTTTAATCACTGGGGGAGAGTTGAAAAGGAGCTGCATAAATAGACTTTCATGATGTCAAGAGACACTGGCAGGGGAAGGGATGAGCCCTTTCCCTTCCCTTCTTGTAGCTGCATCCCTGTCCTTCAAACAACCTCTCTGGGTTCGTTATTAAACATTTATCTTTTGATGTAGCTCATCAGTTCTGCAAGGCTACAGTGAGAGCACATTTTAGGCTGCAGCACCTGCTCACGTGAGCCCTGATGGGATGTTTAATGTTGCAAATGCTGGAGATGTGAGTTAAAATGCTGAAAACCCTTTGGGTGACTTATTTGAATTACAGGCAAAAGTGAGGGGGGCAGAAACGGGGTTGTACCCATGGCTTTTTCAATTTTGCCACGGCAGGAGGCTTGGAAATGGATGATCTTTAAGGTCCCTCCCAAACCAAACCGTTCTACGGTTCCAAAGAGGGTTGATGATGAATTAAAAGGTAAACTTGTGTCAACATGCAAGGGGCAGAGAAAAAAAAATGAATGAAAGGATTAAAACAGAACATAATCTCTTTGCCTTCATGGCTTTTTCCACTTTTGAAGATTTTGAATAAAATACTTTTCTTGAACTGAAATGTACTTTCTGGGGGGAGGGAAAAAAGGTGGAAAATGGGCCAGAACAGTTTCTTGATCCAGCGGAAGACCCACCTATTGCAGAGCTGTTTCACCTGATGCAGAGCAGAAGATGGCAGAGCTCAGTGGGAATTCCTGAAGTTTGCCAGGAAACACA